TGTCACATGAAAAATGCTCACATAGTTTGAAATAACAAATTAAATTAAATTAATTACTCTGTTTATATCCTATGTAAGAAAACTGTAGCTGTATTTAAACCCAAGAGTGAGGAGCCATATGGTCATCTCAACCCCAAGTGGACTAAATGGCTACATAAAATTTGTTGTCCCTGTTGTTTTGGAAGAGGATGTCTTGTTCCCAATCAAGGCTACCTATCAGAAGCTGGCGCCTCATTGGTAGATATGAAACTTAAATTGAACATGGTACCAAAAACTAGGGTAAGTCTATATAATGTAATTATTATGGTGTGTGTTTTCCATGTTTTTTTTTCAGCTCTTGGATGTTATTGTGTTTCTTTTCTCTGTTTGACAAATGTTATTCAAAGTTGACAGAATGACAATATTGAGTTAAATGTACACCGTCATTTATTTTGATAGACTGGTGACCATTTTTGCCTTGGAAACCTTATTTGAACATGGTCTGTACAAGCTGCTATTATATAACAATATTATTTCATCTATATCAAAGTAGGATTTATGTGAGGGTATGTAAATATAAATGACATGCAAGTCAGATTTCAATGAAACCATGCATGAAATCATGTGACTTGGACTTTCATAAATTGAAAGCTATACAATTATATTTTTGCTAATTTAAAATAATCACAAATTTATTGAGATCTTTATTATATGTACAAATGAGGTTAGATTTTGGATATTTTTTTTTTTTTTTTACAAACTTACGCTACATAGAAATTTATCTGTTATGTGTAGTCCAACTGAATATGACATGACATGACAACAGACATATTTTAGCAGGTTGTTTAGTTACCAATTATTATTGTATGTGGTTGTCCATTTATCGTATTTACTTCATACTTGATTTTATAACAGGGCTAAACTAAGAATGAGCTCTTGATACATTGGATGCATTTGTGTAGATGACTTTCTCTTTTAAGAACCAATGTTTACTGCTAGAAAAAACATCAGGAAAAATCTGATCTTGCAAAAATGATAACAGTTGCACTCTGAGATAAAGCTGTAGTTTTAGGACTATTATGTGGTCTGAATTTGCTCGAATTGTGGGGAATATTGGCTATAAAACAATAGTATTTCAATGATTTTCAGTGTAGATGAATGTTTGCAATCATTTGGACTTCCCGTTTATGTGTTTGTTCAAATTTTATTTGCTAATGCTTTTAAATAGTGTTCCAAAGCACACAGATACACAAAGATATTGCCTCCTTTCTACTGTTAGCTGCAATAATTCAAGTAGATTCTCGCATATTTATTACAATTCGCGTATATTCATTACATTCAAACACAACTCTACTAAAGCTACCATATTTACATTGCATGATTTGTGTACATTATTTCTGTTGACAAAGCTGTAACAGTTATATTTTCTGAATTTGTTTAGGTTTATGAATTTAATGCATTGGAATAAATATTTGCCACATTCCTGCTATATTAATATTTTCACCTGGATATTATTTTTTTTCAAATTGACTGAACATTTTTATGACTTGAATTGTTGTAGCAAATAGAATGTTTCACTATGGTATGAACTGTGTTGTCATTATTTATGGTAGTTATTATGGCAAATATGAATTTTGTCATAAATGGGATTATATGTCAACAATATTTTTAAAACTTGATTGAGCATGACAGACATTACTGTAAAGAGTGTAAAGAGGTTAATTATTCGCTGGGTTTTAATTTTGCTTATTTTGCTGACTGGAAAATGCGCTAAATTAAAACCCAGTGAATATGTCAAATTTAGCATAGAACACATTATCTAAATGATAAAACTGTAAATTTAAAACCCACTGAATATGCCTGAAATGGTAAATCAGCGATCTATTAACGATGATTTTTAGTAATTCTGTTTCCTATTTCAGAATTGTTGAATGTCAAATAATGTGAAAACAGCACTGTAGTTTATTGTTGTAATAAAGACTGCTTGGTAATGCTGAGTGAATAACTAAGAGTGGACCATTAGAAACTTAGGTTTAACTGTAGATGCGAATCACGCAATATATTATTTCTGCGAAGGTATGCATGTATTGATAAAAATATTTGGGTGACCTCTCATTTCCAGGACTCTTGGTACTCAAATCAAGGAAATGTATTATTTCTGTGATAATTGAAACATGTAGTTAATTAGCTCATCAGTGTTGTTTTATCCATAAATTAAAATAATCACTTTTATACAGGAAAAAAAATATCCTGTGGATGCCACATGCTTGTGGTTTCTGAAATTTTGAAAGACTTCTTTCTCTTGCCCTATCTTAAACCAAATTACCATATTTTCTCTATTAGAAGCACATCTCCAATAAAAGTACATAAAAAACTAGACTGGCGCAGTCTGGGCGATTAATTTGTTTTTGTAGTTTAAATAAATAAAACTGTATTGGCTACATACTAAATCTTTATTTTGACCATAAATAAATTTCTGTAAATTATGTAAGCGTATGCGCTACTAATGGAACAAATACGATATTATGAGTTTTTAATTACTTTATTCCTGTACATCAATCTAAATGCTATGTTTCATATATGGTTATTTCACAGAAAGAAACAACTCAAACAATTACTATCACTTGTTATATATCTAATAAGGCTAGCTAGTGAAACATTAACTACATAATGTCCAATGATGTAATA